GTCATCTTTATAGTTTAGTGTATTTTATCGGTAGCTTTATGGACGTTGTATATATGTATGTGTTGTACTTTGTGTACATATGTATATATTTTATGTTATGTATATGTATGTTATCTAATGCCTCATTTTTATTTTGCACATATTTGCCATCAATTTGTCACTGTACCCTTTTAGCAAAATAAACTATTTTATTTGAAGACTTACAACGGCCCTTACAAATTATCATAATATTGCACGAGGCGATCTCTTGCGATTTTGGCTGAATCCGTGCCACCGCCTCCAGCTATCCTTTGAAGAGGTGCGAAGCGATCCGGCAACGCACTGTTCCTTGGGGGAGCGAAGCGTTGAACTTGCTCCAAAAGGTCTTGCTTGCGGGCCTAGAGTGTGGAGTACCTGAAGCGCATTAAGAAGTAGAATACTTGGGCAAAGGTCATGTTCTCGCCAGGAGAGAAGCCACTATTTTAGAAGCCTTTTCTGGTTCCATTTGTAAGTCCCTCTGCAGGCTTACGATCGCTTACAAAGAATTCCAAATGACGACTCTATCATCCTTCGAGCTCTATAGTAACGTGAAAGCAAAGCTGATACCCGCTATGTTGTGTGCTTGGAATACCCGCTATTTTTCGCTTAAAGCGCCGTTTGCTGGCCGTTGTTGCCCTGGGTTCTGAAAACGGCCCAATATAGCGGTGTCCTTGAGCGAACCCGCCATCCACATATCTCATTGTCAGTAAATTTTATATTAAAGGTGGCACAAAGATTCTCCATCCACAAGTAGTATTGAACCGCTCCAACCGTGTCTAGCGTAGCTTTTCAGAAACAGCTCATCACGTTCTTCAAGGAAAGTCACTTCCGCATCTCCAGCTCGTTCCGGTGTGCCGATATCAAAGGCCATAAACACAGTCACATACAGCTAAAAGGATTACTGAGTGAAATCCTTTATAGTTCCAATACGTACTACCGGTATTTCTGGGCTTCTGAACAAGAAGTATACTTGACGTGAGATTGACAACTTCAATATAAGTGACAACTAACCTTATCTCCAACATGCTTCTCGTCCATAAAACCCGCAGCACGAGGACAATCGTATCTTTGGTTAGCGGTGGCGAAGCTTCGGCGAATAGAACTAACATGGGATTATGACAGCAATAATAAAGCGGATTAAAATGAAAGTACCAGTATTTTTAGCGTCTGTTTCTTCAGACAGTATATCCGACGCGGTCTGCCTCCCTATGTTCAACTCCTTAGAAAT